GCTCAAATCCGGATAAGAATATACGCCCATGTGCTGCATTTCCAGTTTGCTCGAATGTGAAACATTTTCGCACATTTGGTGTGCTCCATTCCGAATACCCAAAAAATATTGGGAAATATAATTCGACCACATGAAGCCTTGAGGATCGAAAAAGAAATGAGATTGTTCATGCTTTTCTGAGCACATACAAGTTTAGAAAGAATTCAGATTGAATATTTAATTTGTTTTTAAAACATTTAATTAAATCACTAGGTAGTAGGTAATACATTTCGAATTAGATTTTCTAGTAAAATTAAAGAAAATAAAAATCATTCATTTTCCGATGCCGTCTTATTTGAGGAAGAGATGTTAACGTCGATGAGGATGTTGTGGATTTTTTCTTTGACAATGAGCCCGCAGCTGATTTGGATGGTCAGGCCGACAAAATGGCCATGGATGCTGTACTGGCTGTAATTTTATTGGGGAAATTTCGATAACAGATTGTTGCCAAAGGTATTGTTATCCATACCCCTTATACTGCCGCCACCTGCGCCGCCGTAAAGATTACTAGAATTTTTTGAGCTCGATATGGCAGACATGACAGATTTTTTAAGCAATACATTCCTACATTTACCATTTCCACAACTTTTTCAAGATTGCATAGCTTTGCAAACATCGAAATACTTACACCGATTCCCTAAGCGACGTCGTTTAAAACCTTCCAATAACATCTAGTAGAAGTCAGGGCAATTATCAAGCCAGCAGGCAGTTTTTCATAATTTTGTTGTTAAACAAATAGAAAAAACACAGTTCGTAACATATTGAAACACAGTTCGTAACATAACACTGTGCGACAAATTTGATTTTTTTTTGATAATTACCTGGAAATTCCAACAGATTATGAAAGAGGGACTAAAAAAAGAAGACACGTGTATCGGCGTTTTGAAAGTTTACGTCGGGAGATAACCAAAAAAGGCGGGGCAATATTCCCCCTTTTCAAGAATTTTGATCATTTTCGAATTATGATTTCTTGAAATCCTTGCATTTTAGGTATATAATGTCTTCGGCAATATTACTTATAAAATAATGAGGAATATTTTGGTCTGCAACTTTAACCCTCAACCGACTCATTAAAGGGGTCTTTTCAGTCCCCTTTTCCAGGAGTGATTGAAAACTCATTCAAAACGGGGTTAAAGCTGCTCAGAATATTCTACAGAAATGTTCACAATAAAGTTTTACTATAAGTCTCAGAACAGACTAAAACTCAAAAATCAGCCTAAACGTCAAAAATCTTAAAAAACAAAAACTTATTTTAGGGTTAATATCGTACTTATTACTGATTTTTACCCATTTTTCCCACAAGATGTCGTTTTAGAAGGATAGTATAAGGAACAAAAATGTACTCCATCAATTTTTAGCATAAGTCACTGAACAAGTGCATGAAAGTAACATGAAACTTTATTCTGGGTACATAATGTCAAAGAATAAAATATTCTACGTCAAAATCCACTTCAAGTGTCAGAATAAACTATATATTTATATTCAATAGTTTTTAAGATATTTACAGTATAAAATTAACTCAAGTCTGCAAAAAAATGTTGTTATTATATATAATTTTATAATGTAAATTTCTTAAAAACTTTAACCCCGTCGAAGATACAGTATTTGCTCATAGAATATTGCATACAGATTATTAACGTATATCGTGGAATGGTCATGGGCAGAATGACTTGCTTTGATTAAAAAACCACATACAGCTGCTGTCCAAATAAACATTATTAAATTGCAACATTTAAAGGAAATGTTTTAAAATATATTTAAATTATACCCAAACCCTTTCAATGGTGCTCAATTCCATTGACGTAATTTTGTTGTCCCGAAATCAGTTCTTAGCCATTTTTCTAGTATGCTTGGGATTGTTGTCATTGTCCTGTTGCATAATCGAAATCAGTGGCATTTCTTCAGAAGCATACGAAGGATTTTGATATGCGTCCAGGATGGTATTCATAGAGTCAATCGGCTAACACCATTATAAGAGAAACATCCCCAAATCTTAATGTTGGAATACGATCCGCTTCGAGGGTTAAATCGTCTTTTGGTTTAAATTCTGAGTTTTGTGGCATGAGGACGTATGAACGAGATACATTTTTTACTACATACAAAAATTATAGACACAACTGTCCAAAGAATATTTCGCCACTTTTAAATGACATGTATCCATTGTTGTATAAAAAGTCAAAAAGGTTTAGTGGTGCTATTATGTATTTTGTACTGTATGTTTCGGTCCTCCCATCTATTAAGTGTTATGTTTTATAGCCATGTTACCGAATGTAGTCGAACTAAGCCTAGTTATTGCCGAAGAAGCTCTTACTGTTGTGTACTGTTCTCTGGACCATTATAAAAACACTCTGGTTTATTTTGATAGCATCTGCTCTTCTGCACCTATTCTTGGCTAGGATTGTATTTACCATCCTCGAACCACTAGAATTGCGACTTCAACTCCATCACAATTTTATAGGCCCATTGTTCAAGAGACATTTCTTTGTAGACCTGGACCTCGATTCGTATAACTTCTTCTGTAGCGTCCAATTAGTTTTTGCATCGACATCATAATGTTGTGTTCATCCACTGGAAGGATCTTTGTCTTTTCATGGAAGAGGATAATCGGAGTCTTGCAGTCGTCAGGACCTATGTGTGTAGCACTTAGGTTAGCGGATAACACTTAGTTTATTTAATTAATGGAAGTCTATTTTTTGTTTTAGTCAGGAAAACATTACAGACAACATTCGAAGAAATGCCGTCTTGGAAGATTGCGACGAATTTATGGATAATGCTATAATAAATTTGTCAAAGAAATTGCCAACCAAAGTATTTAAAAACAAATATTTAAAATCGATGCCGAAAATGCCAATGATATTATTTTAGTCGATATGTTGATAAAAATTATAAAAAAATACCGGAATGGTATCGAATTTGAATGTCACTGGCCCGTCAGTTCTACAATAAATTCTGACTATTTTGAATAAAACCCAAATACATAAAAAAAGTTAGTTAATAATCAGGATATTTCTGATGTTTTTACATCCGTTCGTAAGTAGTTCGATTATGTTAATTAATATTAAAATCATTAATTATCGATAAACCAAAAATTACATTCCTTTGATATTATAGCACGATATAGTTAGAACTTTCTCATAGGTCCAATTGTTTAACTAACGATTTTCAATAGTCATATATCAGATTATTCTGTATCAGAATTACTTAAAAGATATTTCTCAGAAAATTTTGAAAGATTGTCAATTTAGACAAATATCTAAAAAGCAGAGCGGATGTTACGATAACGATCTCTTCCCAAGGACATGGGTATTTTATTTTTTTAGATTTTCCAATATATGTATTTATTGGTAATACGAAGCCTAAGATAAATTGCACACTATAGATCCACTGTAGATTAAACAAAGAAAATTTTTATACTACCAAACATTGTTCTCTAAGGATAATATATTAATTATACAGAGAACCATCATATTTCAATAGATAAGTTCAAAAATTCCTCGATCTCAGGTCTTACCGTACAGAAGTCCTCTATCGTACCAGTAATATAAAATCACAATGCGGTGTTATATAGAAGCATTTCCAATCTCAACCATACAATCTACCGTACCTTATAGACGGTATACATATAATTAGGTTAATTATATCGCTTATAACAGCGATCAAGAGACTTGCGAAATTGGAATATATAAACCATAGTCCTTATAAGCGATACCGATTAGGCAGTACTTACTTCGGAACTTTTGGATACATCGTTATAATTGATATGTTGCTAGAAACGGTCATGTCATGAAAAATTTTGAATCCACCTCTTAAAAGAGGAATTCTACAAATTGGTATATACCTGTACTTCAAGAATCTACAAACCTTTACTATTTTTCGATATCATAAAGGGAAATTGTGACCATATGATAACTCATTAGTATATAACATTCAACACTTTTACTTTGTCAGGTTGATATTTGAAATATGATTTTGTTCACATAAAGAAGACATATAAAAATCTGATATTTTTATGGAACCTATAAGCGAATTTCTATCTGTTAAACCATTAGTGTATAACATTCCATATATGAAATACCTTGATTTTGTCAGGAGACGATTTATGCCCAATAATTAAACTGAACATTTTACATGTTAATAAATTCCAGGAAATTCGAAAATAATCTGATTAAAATGTTAATGTTTTAAAATATATGCCAAAATTTAAAATAATTTATATGTTTTTCAGAACTCAAATATATTTTCAACAATTTTACATGTGGCTGCAAACTCTACTAATTTTTACTAATGTTTTCGATATCATAAAGGAAAAATTGTTAACGTAGTAAAAATTTTACATTCTTGCAAGTTAGGAAACAGACATTTATTTGTTATTCAAAAAATCATTAGCTATGGGTATTCACCCTTTTAATTTCTAATTTATGTAATATTATTCATAAATTTCAGATGTTTGAAATGTATTACTAATAAAAAATATTCTATTTATTTTTATACTTTTAAAGCTCGCCACCACCAACAACAACAATATCAATATATAACTCAACATAAATATATATAACAACAAAACGGCCGATTTTTAAAGAATTTCCAGTGGGGCTATACATACAAAATTACCAATCCAATCAACCACAATATTATTTTTACCACCAACAATACAAATAACTCAACAACAACAACAACAGCAAGCAAGCAACTAACAATAAGGGCAGCAGCATTCAAATCCATTTGCAATATGAAAGCGAGTTCTTCTGAGAGTGCGTCTAACTAAATAATCATATATCGGCATCAACGAAAATGAAACGTCTAATAGTATTAACAAATAATTAACATTAACAAATAAACTGCTGCTGAAGAAACAGTAAGAAGTTGTTGGCGCAACTCATAGCTTTGGCAATAGCTCAGCACAAAATCACAAGATCTCATTGCAAGGTGTTCTTCTAAAGAGGCCCTTCAGCTTAAGATTTTTGCCGGCAAAATTGTTTGACGCGCAATGAATTCAAGTCAACCAACACAAGCGGCTCCCGGCAATCGTATAACATTTACGAGTCAACAGCTACCCAATGGTACCATCAATATTGGGGGTGCACACGGTGGTTCAATAATATCAACATCACAATTGCCCAATACGACGACAATTAAGACAATAACATCCAGTGCGGCTGGCCAACAGCAGCAACATCATTCATTACCACAACAGGTACAAGTTCAACATCATCAGGTTTTACAAACAACAGGTCAGCAACAGGGCAATCCAGTTGGTGCTGGTGGCCCTCAGCAACCACAACAATCAGTAGGTGCCACACAAACGCAAACCTTAGTTATAAAATCTAATCATGCCGTTTCATTACCGGCGGGTATTGTCTCAAGTGCACCCGGAATAGTAACTATGACCAAGACCATACAGCAGGTATGGGCTATTTTCTCATGGAAGGAAACATTATTAGCCCGCATACTATAAAAAATACAATACAATAGAAAAACCTGTAGTGAATTTGTCTTCAATCGATCAATGAAAACAAATCTTGTTTGTTTTTTATATATAATCTATTCAAATTTTGATTTCAATTCTTGCTTTTTTATTTCAGTATTCTGTTAATTTTCTATGATAATTATATAGTGCTAGTTATATGTACATCATTTTCTATGTTATGTACAGATGCATTTATTTTTTATGCCCTACACGACTATGTGGTAAGGGTATTATAGCTTTGTGCGTCAGCAAGAGTTTGCAACGCTGCGAAATATTGGTCCTAGACCCACTTTTAAGTATACCGATCGTCATATTAGCTAGTTGAGCTAAGTTGATCTAGACACGCGTGTCCGTCCGTCTGTCCATTATAATTTTTTAACGCGATACTTGCAACAGGTATGGACCAATCGTCACGAACTTTTGCATGTAGGACCGGTTCTGGCCAAAGAAGACCCATAATCGGTTAGATTTTTTTTAGGATGAAATGGACCAACAACTTTTTTTCTTTTTTGCTTTTATGGCCGCTCTAGATGCCACACTTTTTACACAGAAAGAGGGGTCTAACCATGAAATAAGCATGGCAATATTTAACCGCTTAAATGAACTAAACTTTGTTTCGTGTAAAATAACAAAATTTGAATATCATGGTGTACATTACATCACTACTCCCGGGAAACTTGTTTCCTTAAATATTCCTCAGAGGAGTTGTTAACCCCTATTTAGGCATTCCACTGTCATTTACTAATTTATTGTCCTTAATTTTTTCAATGTACATTATAAACTAGCACTATTTATTTTCATAACATTTTCAAAAAAACAATTTATCTCCTCTCAGCTTAAAAAAATATATTCCTTATCCTTGATAATTTGCGTTTTATTCAAAATCCGATTTCTTTTCATTTTTTTTTATACAAAAAACTTTTAAGATAATAGTCAATAAATGGTCTGTTCCCGTACTCAAAAAGTTTCCAAAAATTTAAAAATATATTTTGGGAAAATCGAAAACAATTTCATTAATATAAAAGATTCTGGAACGGACCAAATATGTTTAAAAAATATATATTTCACAAATGTGTGTGGGGTGCATAAAATATCTTAGAGAACGCCGCTGGACTTGTTGCTTGCTTTCAAATTGCTTATTTTTAATATTTTTTGTAGTTGTTGATTTTTAGTATTATTTAGTTGTAGACTGTAGACATATTTGTATTTGATTTTCGACAGAACGATTCTATAAGTTCAATTCGAAAATTATCTATCGATATATGTAATTTTTTATTTACCCATAACTAAGATCTTTACTAGGTCGGACAATGAATCTAGCTGACTATTAAGTTTGACATGAAAATAAATGAATAGCTACAAAATGTATATTATTGTCAAACAAAAATATACATAATATTTTAATTGTTACTGCTTATAAAACAAATATTGAATGACTATATGCAGATATGAGTTGCCACATAATTCGTCCGAGTTTATGTGTACGATACACCAACAATTCGATGTATGTACGATATATCTGAATTCATTCAAGTTATTATTGTAAATATATCTTCCAACTAAATTTCAAATATAACCTTCTCAAGGTGCAAGTAAGCCAGTACGTCTTTGGTACTTTGTTTAGCCGTTTTGATTTTTTAAAATAAAATTAATATTCGTCCGTCTGTCTGTCCATGTTAAATTGTAAACAAAGTACAGGTCGCATTTTTGATTCGAATTGGATGAAATTTGGCACAGCTCATTTGGCTCAATGACAAACCCTATTGAAGTTGGAAAAAATCGTTTCAGATTTAGATATAGTTCTCATATATATTTTCGTCCGATTTAAGGTAAATTGTGCACCAAAGTCCCTATAAATCTTTCGATTTGCACGAAATTTGGCACAGCGTAGTGGTTTAAGTCTAGAATGATGTGTGCTAAGTTTCGTGAAAATCAGTTCATATTTAGATAAAGCTCCCATATTTATTTTCGTCTGATTTAAGGTTAATGGTGCACCAAGGTCCCTATATATCTTTCGATTTCCACAAATTTGGCACAGCATAGTGAATTAAGCCTCGAATGATGTGTGCTAAGTTTCGTGAAAGTCGGTTCATATTTAGATATAGCTCCCATATATATTTTCGTCCGATTTAATGTAAATGTTAAACCAAAGTCCCTATATATTCTCGACGTCTATTAGGATATGTATGTATAATTTCCCAAAGTGGTATAGTCGGCCCAGTCCGACTTTACTACTTTCCTGACTGGTTTATACTTCGTAAATACAAATAATCACCCGCAAAGGGATGACAAATTCATATCTAAGATAAATACAAAAAACAAATCCGTTCAAAATATTTTGAACATGCTGACGACTGGCAAGAATAGTGGACAAATTCAGTTTATGTTCTTTTGAACAATAAATATATTTATATACTACTTTGTTTTAGAATACCTACAAATTGTTTTAATTTAAACAAATGCATGGTAGTAGTAATTATGCTTTTATTATAAACCTAATTTTTAAAATAGAACGTCTTACAAATAACAAAATCATCTAAAAAAACGATAACTAAATATTCTATTTCTTCCACGAATTAAAATAGGGTGGTCAACCAATTATTAATTCCATGCTACCAGCTGGTGTAGTAGTCGGTATGCGTCCTCCTGCTTCACAACAACAACCAAAGAATGTCCAAGGTAATACAATGGGAAGAGTGGTCGTCGGAGGGCCACATATGGTGGGAACAAGACCTCAAAGTCCGTCGGTAAGTAAACATTTTGACAATGTCATAATAATAAAGCAATGCATATTTGTAAATTATAATCTAACAATGACACCCAAAATAATCTGAAATACATTTAAAAATAATAATTTCTACTAAATGGAATGAATGGTAAAATGTTTTCAATTAACAAAAACCTACCACCCCAAAATTCTTCTAATAGAAATGAAACTAAATAATTTACTCTCTAATATTAATACTTCTTGTTTATTTTAATATATCCTGAAAAATTCCCGCATTTGATTTGTTATTGTTTTTTTTTTTTTTCTTTTTTTGTGAATTCTTTTTTCCGTAGATAACACTAAGTACACTAACCCCGGGGCAAACGCCTGCACTCATTTTGAAAACCGAAAATGGATATCAATTATTGCGCGTAGGGGGTGCTACATCGGGCCCGGTGACACAAACAATTGGCACTAATTCCACAAACCCAACACAAATACGCTTGCAAACTGTTCCAGCTGCTGTAAGTAGATTCACAGGTCCACCTTTAGCACTACGTAAAACGATTGTAAGATCATCCACTTCCACCTCCACCACCACAACTACCACCCATCACCATCACCAACAACAACAACAGCAATCGCAACCGCAACAGCAACAAGTAAAAAAACAACAACATCAACAACAGGCAACAACAGCTACGTTGAAACAGATAAAACAAAATGTAATTGTCCTTTTTGCTAACTGATGATGAAATGGAATGATGGACCATTGTTGTTGTGTCCACCATTATTTTCACTTTCAATATCCTCTTTTCTTAGCATATATTTTTTCGTAAAGATATATTTTCGTCAAATTTTTGTTTTTTGGTTTCGTAAAAAAAATCTCAGAAATTGTTTTTACGCTTTAAACAAGAAAATTTATGAATGAATGATAATGAGAACAAAACAATATTTTTTAGAATAATTTCTCATTTGCTTTAGATTTGTTTTTTCTTTAAAATGTGATATAATTTGTTGTCTATTATAATTTTTTATTAAAAACTATGTTCTTTTAGGGGAACCCCTTCATTTATTTTCAGCACATTTGTTGAATGCCCACATACAATTATCAAAATAGAAACAATAGAAATATTTTTTTAAGGAATAGTTACAATGTTTCGAAGATTAGTTTTCATTCCAATGTTTTCTATAATTAGACCTTTTGCATATGGGGTAATAAAAGGAGTTTTTCGATTTTATCCCGATTTCGTAAAAATATTAAATGCAAGGTTTCAAAAGTATAATTTATTGTTTGTGAATAGTTTCAAAGTATCGAAGATTATTTTCATTCCAATGCTTTCTAGAATTAAACCTTTGTGTGTGAAGTAACAAAACTTGTCTTTGGATTTTATCTAGGTTTCGTAAAAATGTAAGATTTGAAACAAAACAGATACTTAATTTGTTTTTTATTCGATTTATTGGTAAAAAACTCTTATGGAGTAGATTCCAGAAGCAGATAAAATATGATCCCATCGTCCAATTTCTGATGCATTCTAAACAGCAGGAACTAATAATAACAGTTCTGTACATAATCAAGGTTTACATAATTTTTAATACACTGCGTTCTCTTTTTTCACTCATTAACCCGACAGGGATGTTATAATGTTGACTTCGTACTCCAAAATAAAATTGACAGAGGTTATAAACATGAAATGTATTCCAACATGGATAGAAATCATTAATACCAAATCCGAAAGGAATTTTTCTCTTTTCATTTTCCTTCTATCATGATCGCAGGATTTGATTCTCGAGAAAATTGTTTTCATGATCGGGCTGAATATTTTTTATCTTAATAGGTTTAAGTTAGTACATTTTGTTTTTACTGTTTCGCCTAGATGTTTGTGTTTTATAAATATAATTTTTTAGTATATACATAAATATATTTGCAATAAATTTTATTTATGCATAATTTTTTTTCATTATTGTATTCAGTTTTTCTATAAAGGAAAATATATTTGCCTTGCTGTAGTATTGCTTAATGGTTGCTTATTTGTAAATATCGTGAATATTTTTTACTTTAAAAAATATATAATTTTTTTTAAATAAAGTAGCCTTTGTAAAATTTTGTTTTTTGCTACCTTTTAATTATTTTTTATTGTAAATAGTTGTTTTACAAGTGCTTGAAAACGAAAAAAATCATATCCATTCCAATCGTTGTCTTGTGACACATTTACCATTTTGACTTTAATTAATAATTTGTTTTCTTATTTACAATAACAACAACAACATCAACGAACGTTTAGTCAATATCAAATACCTCAACGGCCAACAGCATTGTGGTAAATTCAGTGGCAAATTCCTCCAATTCCCAGCCCACACATGTCTATACATCCCAGGCCAATATATCAGCGTTATCACATCAACAGCAAACAACGACAAATGTTGTTACATCGATGCAGCATCAGCACCAACAACAATCACAACAGCAACAACAATTCCATACGCAGACGCAACATTTACAAAGTCAACCTCAAATAACTCAAATACAGACAATACCAGCGCATCAAACATCATCAGGAGCCACCCACCTACAGCAAACAAATCAACAGCATCAGCAACAACAACAACAGCATTCATCAACAAATAACACAACAATGAACAATGTGAATAGCGGTTCTAATGCGGGGACAACAACGACTACAACGCCCCAAAGTGCAGCGGCTCAGGGTAATACCAAAGAAAAGTGTCGAAAATTTCTCGCCAATCTAATTGATTTGTCAACGCGAGAACCCAAACCGGTGGAGAAAAATGTTCGCAATCTAATACAGGAACTTGTAAATGCCAATGTGGAACCGGAAGAATTTTGTGATCGTCTGGAAAGACTATTGAATGCCAGTCCCCAACCATGTCTGATAGGATTTCTGAAGGTAAGTTAATAAGTTATTATTTCAAAATTAGATCATTATTGAATAACAACAAAATGTGTTTTAGTAAAAGTATGTCAGCTTGCATATCTATATTTACTTCTGTTAATTTATTAACATGTTCTTTATACAACTTTTTTACATCAACACTTTAAATACTTTCTTGCAGAAAAGTTTACCATTACTGCGACAAGCATTGTTTACAAAAGAATTGGTAATTGAAGGGATTAAACCACCGCCGCAACATGTTGTGGGAGGTATTACCATACAACAACAATTGCCGGTAAGTCTTTTTTTTACAAATTTGTTCATAAATAAATAAAATAATTTCTTCATGTTTTGTATTTTTCTTTTGTGGTTATAGAAAATTCAAGCACAGATCCGTCCCATTAGTCAAAATCAAACAACAACAATAGGACAGACACAAGTGCGCATGATATTACCTGCCTCAGCGTCTAGACCCATAGGTCACACGACCATAACAAAACAACCGGCTAGTGGTATACGTATACAGGGCCCGGCAAATGGACCCCGTTTAATAAATACTCAGATAAGAGGACCAATGTCGCAACAAACAACGACGCAATTGCAAACACAATCGTCACATGCGGTAAGTGAAGAGTCACATTTGTTTTACTTTTAATATGTTCAAATTTAATAACTTTTTTATGTTTTGTTTTGTTCAGAATATTGTCCAAATTCGTGCTCCCACAGCCACACAAATTAGTCGCCCCGCCACGGTTCAAATACGTACATCCAAGGGAAAGAATACAACGACGCCAACGGCTAGTCCTGGTGCTGGCATAACACATGTTAAAGTGGGGCAGACACAAATTAAAGCTATTTCCTCATCGCCCTCACCTGCCATTTCATCACAACCACCATCTTTGGCTGCCATTTCCAATAATATACCCACAGGTTCGACGTTGTCGTCATCCGCATCGATTCTCTCCACCATCAATTCGGTAGCTAGCAATGCTGTGTGTAGTGTATCCGGCCTGCCGATACCTTCATTACCCACCGTGCAATTACCGCCAGCCGTGTTGGCCCAACAGCAACAACAGCAGCAGCAGATCCAGCTGCAGAATTCGACACATTCGTTAATAAGCACAAATACTTCGTCTCTATCAGTGGATCAAATAAAAACGGAAATCAAAACGGAGAATTTGAAAAGTGGTGGCATAGCGACAATTGTCTCAGCGCCCTCAACACCCACTCAACAAGCTAACAAAGCGCCTGCCAAAACAACAACAGCCTCCGTCAATAAGGCAGCGGCGAAAAAGAAAAGAGATTTAGCGGATAAGGATCGCGATGACTTGAAAATCAACAACTCAACATCGGCGGCATCCAGTGCCGCGTCATTTTTCCAACAACCTTCCATATCAATGTCATCATATGGAGATGATGACATCAATGATGTTGCCGCTATGGGTGGTGTCAATTTGGCCGAGGAGACGCAGCGTATATTGGGCTGTACGGAAAATATCGGCACACAAATACGTTCGTGTAAAGACGAAGTGTTTCTCCATTTACCCGCCCTGCAAGCACGTATACGTGCAATGGTAATGGAACGTGGCCTCGAAGAACCATCACAAGATGTAGCTGTGCTAATATCTCATGCCTGCCAGGAACGACTGAAAAATATTGTTGAAAAGCTGGCAGTAATAGCGGAACATCGAATTGATGTTATTAAAGTAAGTCTCCCGCTTCATAATTAATAACTGTTTTGTAATATCTATTAATTATATGTTTTTTTTTGTAGTTGGATCCCCGTTATGAAGTAACAAAGGATGTCCGCGGACAAATTAAATTTTTAGAAGAACTCGATAAGGCTGAACAAAAACGTCACGAAGAATTGGAACGTGAAATGCTATTACGTGCAGCAAAATCGAGATCAAAAATTGAAGATCCCGAACAAGCAAAAATGAAAGCGAGGGTAAGTTTGTTATTGGAACAAAATTAACCAATAATTTTGTATAATGTCATCTTGTTAAATTCCTTGACAAATCAGTGCTCGTATTTTTATAATTTTATTGTTTCTATTGTACTCTTTCCAGGCAAAAGAAATGCAACGCGCTGAAATGGAGGAATTAAGACAACGAGATGCCAATTTAACAGCTTTACAAGCCATTGGTCCTCGCAAGAAATTAAAATTGGATGGTGAGGGTGCGGGTTCTGGCCTGGTAAGTTATTACAAAATATATTCATATTTTTAGACCTTTTTATTAACATTAAACCGAATTTTGTTTTTAAGGGTGCAAGTAACGTTTTAGGAACATCCGGAACGCCACCGGCACCATTAAGGCCGCGTATCAAGCGTGTCAATTTACGTGACATGCTATTCTTCATGGAACAAGAACGTGAAACGTGTCGAAGCCAAATGTTATATAAGGCATATCTTAAGTGATGCATTATTTTTAGAATACACTGTATAAAGAAGATGATGAAGCAACAAACAATGATGTTCTACTACTACTGTTATTTATATTTTTAACATAACAATATAAAAGTACACCTTTTTCGGTTCTTGTCATATACATATATATTTATATATTTTTTCTACTATACATACTTCCGATTTTAACATCAGCGCTTCAATTTTTGTTAACTTGTTTTGTAATTTTCCTTTTGTATTTCGTACATATATATCAATGCTGCAATTCTGACAGCCCCAAAATCTGATTTTTTTATTACCTTATTATTATTTTTTAATTAGATCAAATCAAATATTGCTTCCATTTGCGCGACAATTGATTAACTGCAACAACAATACTATGTATATGTAATGTTTTGTTCTCCTCAAGGATCTTTGTTTTTTTTTATTTAACCACAATATATAAGCAGACAAAAACAACATTTTTTTATATTAGCAATATTTTCTTTTGTTTAACAATTGGATTTTTTTTTTGATTTTCGTTCTTTTATTCTTCCCAAAAAAAGACTTTCTTTTGAAAAGTTTTTTTTTAATAGTTTAGATTTTAGTTTTTCTTCTCTCTTTTTTAGAGTAGCGTTGATATTCACTTACGTTTTCTAATATATTGTTATTGATTAAACAACAACAACAAAAATAAATAGAAAACATAATATAAAGAAATAATCATTGAAAATATAATTCTTGTAAAATATGGCCTTATAATGTTAGATTTGTAAAATTTATAAATATTTGTAAATTAAAAAAAAAAAAACAAAACATGAAAAAAAAACATTTTTTATAACATTTCCTCATTTAGTTTGATTATTATTTTTTCATATTAAAGATAAAACATTTAAATGTAAAATTTATTTAAAAACAAAAATAGAATTGTGGTTACAAACCTTAAAACATACATCCTATATCCTATATTGGGATAATATATAAAAAAAAAACAAAAGTAAAACAATATGTTGAAAATTTATAATACAGCACCAACTGTAAAAAATATATTTGTAATCATTTATCGCAGTCGCAGGTGTAATTTGAAAAAAAGAAAACAAAAATAAAATAAATTAAAAAATACAATCTAATTTTTTTTACCATTTTTCATTACACATTTTTAAATTTCGAAGAAATTCAGTAAAATTCTCTCAACAATATTGAATAGCAAAATTTAAATATATTCCAATATTTGACGTCCATTGAGAGTTTATGTTCATCGAATTAATAGTAAATGAAATATTTTCTAGGAGAGTACATTTGTTTGCTATTATGGAGTGTCCGGAATATATTTGATTATCAGTCATAATCTCTAGTGGGGTTTTCCCAGTTTCTTTTCTCCATACGGAAAATGGGGGTTTCTCCTTAAATTTTTTCCAATTCCATCAGCAGACAATTTTCTTTCTCCAAACCGAAAACAAGTTTTTTATTATTTTGAACAATATTTAAGCAGCATTGCTACACTATTCAATAAAAAGACTAGCACTATTTCTCAGTATTTCCTTTAATAAATACATTTTTGTTTCTCTCTGTCAACATCTTCGTTTCCTTTATGTCTGTTGAAGCAAAGCACATTTCCTGATATTTTTACAGAGATACCGGTACACCTGGATACAGGATGAACAGAACAGGATGAATTTCACTTTTATCCCTTTGATAAAGTTTTTATTCTCTTAATAGTTCCAGGCTAGTTGGGAATAATCTCAGAATGTTCACAATAAACCCGCCCATGCCATAATACTCCGAAATAAATGCAGTGCTTTTGTGTTTAGTTTTCGATTGATCATTCACCCCTATTATATAAAATTTGGGAATTGAAAACGTAGAATTAATTGTGAATATTTACTAAAAGGAGTGATTAGGTAGCAATTTATTTCAGCATTATCTTTGTATTCAGAAGATCGATCAATTAGGGAAACATTTTCTATTAATGTTGTCAACAGTCAAATTCTATATGATCATTCCGGGCGGAATTATTTACTGTTATTTCCTTCTTAGTTGTATTTTCACCTTTTCAACTTTCGTCGGTTGTTTGGTTCGCTGATTATTATTTTGGAAAATACGCAAATCAGATGATATATTTCAAGGTTGAGTCTTTAGCTTCGCGTAACCAATCGATATACGGCATACGACAACATTAATATATTTTTTGTGTATGTCATTTCCACAACTCTGTCATCTACAATTGAAAATGACCCGAGTCGCCTAATGACGTTCAGTCCATTGTGTAGAACCTGTATTGGTGCAAAAACAACAATCCGAAGTTTGATTAGATCTACCTGTTTATGGTATGCCACTTCCGACAATTAAATAATAATAAGTGTGAATTTGTTTTACCTCTTCAGTTGTTTTGATCATCCTAAGGGACATGACAAAAATACATTCTAAAAGCAAAAAAATGTTTGGCTGCCAAAAGCATTGATTAAAATTGGGACTTGTTTAACGGTACAAGTTTCTATCCCTATTTTATGGTGCTATGCTCAGAATTATTACAAAAGCATAATGTTATTTCTCCATAATAAGAAAGGATTACTCCTATATTTTAAAGTTTGGTGTTGTATTAAAAAATAAATTGCCAACACTTATTTCCCAATGAAAATTAGTAATAAATCTGTAAAAAATATACAAACAGCTATAAAGACACAATAATTGGTCAAAGGCAACAAAACAAACAAAGTATAAATAACCAATATCAAGAATTTTGTAATTAGTAGAGACAAACAAAAACACACAGTTATATTAATTATACCAATTAAAAAAATCTAAAAAAACAGTTTAGAATTTTTAAGTCTTACATTTAAGTTATTTATAATAAAACGAAATGAATACAATTAAGGAAACAAAGTGAAGAAATAATAGGAAAAAAAGAATTAGGTAAAACTATATTAAATGAATATGCGGAATAAGTGAGAATAACGTTTCATTTATTAAAATAAAAATAAAAAAAACACACAAATATGATTAACAAACAAATAAACTCCCACAGTGTTAAACTTGAAAACAAAATTTAACATAGTTGTACATTATTTGTTTAAGTAAACTAACAGGAAAGCAAACTTACAACATACATGGGAAATACTGTAAAATTATGAAATGTCAAAGATAATGATACATCAATTTGCAAACAAACAAATAGAATAAATCGTATAAATAAAAAAATAAAACTAAATCCAAAACCAACAAATACAAATGTACATTTTTCTAGTGAAATTTTAAATAATTATTATTCATAAATCAACAAAATGAAATAACAAACGACGAAACTCCAAATAATAGCAATAGTTAATAACATTCTATCCGCCACATCATTAACAACTAACACATCTAAGCAATATTTATTTAACATCCATGTTCCTTCCAAACACTACAAATATACAATCAATTCACTCATTTTCCCCGTTAACAATCTGAAGAAGAGCGAAATGTAAATGATTTGAATATTTAAATTCTTTTAATTCGGATCGTCCCATGGTATAATAATAAAAGGTAACAGCAAGTGTTGTTGTACAAAAAACGATACAACAACCACATGGAAATTTGTTGTTGTAAGTTCTACTAGTGTCAACTGATTTGACTGAAAAATGTAAACAAACAAACAAATTATCATCAAATTATTTTTATTTTGAAAATGGAATATTTTCGAATCCTCAAAATAAAAATTGGAAAACATGAATGAAAATCTATCAAATTTATATTTCTATCGCTTCCACATCTTTCCTTTAATTGAGCCATTGCCATGTGTATGTGTAACACATATGCCAATGCTTGGAATAGCGGGTAATTCCTTCAAGAAAGATTTGCTTCCTCAAACCTTCCCAGCAGGCAGATTGAGTAAATTGAAAACGGGAGCACATTAATAAAGAACAATTTCAAATTGTATGCGTTCCCAATTTTCCTGTTGGGTGATTTGTAAAAGCATAATTTGTCAAATTCATATTGACTCTAGTATTACGTTGGAATCAAATCAGCTGGGATTTGCTGTTACCTTTTATAATTGTACCATGGGATCGTCCTAGTATTTTTGATTTCTGTATTTGAATTATTGAAGAAAATATTAAAATATTTGTGATTTTAATAGCCACTTGGTGGGATATTTGAGTTAACTAAGAAGCACGGCGCTACAGGGAATTGAACGGGATTAATAAATTTTTGTCCTAGGCACATTTTTCAACCTCCTGAATTTTTTATTCCATTTCCAGTACATTCTAATGTTTGCCAGAAAACCCAAAGTTATATACAGTAGATACATTTTTTCATAAGAATAAAATTCGATGCCGATTGTACTAAAATGTCCATCACGATAGAGCTGTCAGTATTAAAATTACAGCTTTGATCTTTTGCACACACAATCAATCCAAATTTTTGTATAGTCCTCATTTTCCGGATTTTCAAAACGGAAAACAAATAAAAAGTGAACAAATAAATATTGTATACTAGCGGGCCCGGCAAACGTTGTCTTGCCTAGCAATATTATTCATGTATAATTTTCGGCATTTTAGGATTGTTTTTATACGCTCCACCATAAGGCGGAGTGTACAGATTTGGTATTTGTCAGAGCACACATAAAGTAACATTACAAAACTGAATTTGATGTTTATGAGTGAGTTTTGTTGCTCCCTCCACGATTTAAGATATAAATTTTATATTTCCACATACATTTGTATTACTCATAAGATGGCTTAGCGTTGTCCTGGTGAAACACGACACCTCCCCTGTTGGCCAATTCTGGTCAATTGCTATCTTCAAACGGTACAGTTGTTGGCAGTAGAGATCAGAATTTAGCGTTTGGTCATATGAAAGCAACTCATAATAAACAATCCCCTTCCAGTCCCACCAAATGCATAGCCGAACCTTCCTGGTCGTTAGTCCTGGTTTGGTCACCGTTTGAGGTGCTTCACCGCTCTTTGACCACAATCTTTTTTGCATAGGGTTATCGTATGTGATCCATTTCTCATTTCCAGTCACCATCCGTTTATAAAAATTAGAGTATCTCATTCCGTTTGGTCAAGGCTTCGCAGATGGAAATTC